CCCACAATAATTCCTAGGTACGCCTCTAGTTAGATTGACCAGAAAGGAAAAAGAGAAGACACAAATAACCAAGGCCAGAAATGAGAGAGATGACACAACCGATTCCACACACAAACGACCAAAGCTCACTCAGCAAGAAACAGATAAACTGGATAGCCACACACTTACTAAGGAAGTTGAATTTATACTTTAAATAAGTTCTCCTACAAAGGAAACTCCAGGCCTAGAACAGCACCACTGGTAAATTCTACAAATCACTCCAGAAAGAAATAACAAAGCCAGTTCTTTCAGAAAATTTAAGAGAAGGGAGTAATATCCAGTTCATTCTTTGAGTATTAAACTATTACCAAACCCAGGCAAAGACATTACAAAAAATAATAATAAAACAACAAGAACAAAAAGGACACTTTATCATTACCAACTGGGATTTATCTCAGGGAAGTAAGGTTAGTTTAGCATCTGAAAACCAATGCAATTCACCATATTAACAAATTAAAAAGAAGAATCACAAAATCACTTCAACTGATGCAGAAAGAACACTTGACAAAACTCAACATGCATTACTGACAAAGACTTTCAACGAACTGGGACTAGAAGAGAATGTCCTCAACTTGATAAAGGGTGTTTACGAAAAACTACAGAGAACATCATACTTGATGGTAGAAGACTTAATGCTTTCCCCCTACGATCAAGAATAAAGCAAGAATGTACTCTTTTACCACCTCCATTCAACATTTTAATGGCAGTGCTGGCCATTGTCACAAGGCAACAAAAAGACAGAACATAGAAGGCACCCAGATTGCAAAGGAAGAAGTAAAACAAGGCTTACTCACTCACAGCACGACTGTCTATATCAAAAATCTGCTGCGATCTATAGAAAAAAGCTACAAGAACTAATATGTGAATTCAACAAGATTTTAGGGTAAATGATACATTAACAAAAATCAATTATATTTCTACATACTAGCAATAAACATTTAAAATTGAAAATTTGAAACTACTATTTACAGTAGCATCAAAATGAAACATGAAATAACCATAGATAAATACGACAAAGGGTGTGCATGTCTTCCACCCTGACGATGGCAGAACGTTGCTGAGAATTTAAAGACCTAAATGCATGCAGAGATACACCGTGTTCAGTAGTCAGAAGACTCAATGTTGTTAAAATGTCAGTTCTCCCGTATTGATTTAAATTCAACACAGTCCCAATCAAAATTCCAGCAAGCTTTTATTAGTGAAATTGCCGAGATACTCTAAATTTCATAAGAAATGCTAATAAGCACCTAAAATAGCCAAAACATCTCTGGGGGAAAAAAAATGTGGAGGACTAACACTAACTGATTTCAAGACTTACTTTTAGCTGCAATAATCAAAATAGCATCAAATTGAGAGAGATCAGTAGAAAAAAGGATCCAGAAACAGACCTACACATATACGAACAGATTATTTTCTACAAAGTGCAAAGGCAATCCGATAGAGAGAGAGTTTGCAATAAACAGTGCTGGAACACACACTGATACCCATAAGCAAGAGAGTAATTCTTGCCATATATAAAAAAACAACACAAAATGGATCATAAGCCTAAATGTAAAACCTAAAACTATAAACATTCTAAAAGAAAACACAGTTTTCTTGCCTTGGGGAAAGCACAGATTTCTTAGATACAATGTCAGTGTTATTCCCAAAGGAAAAAATTAACAAACTGAACGACATCAAAAGTAAACACTTCGGCTCTAGGTATCACATAATCAAGACAATAAAAAGGCAAGCCACAGGCCAGGAGAAAATATACGGAAATAATATAATTTATCAAGGACTTGTACCCAAAATATGTAAGAGATTCTCAAAACTCAGTAATAAGAAAACAACCCATTAAAAATTTTGACAAAATATCTGAACAAGCACTTCATCAGTGAAGGTATATAAATGGTAAACAAGCACAGGAGAAGATGCTCAATGTCATTAGTCATTAGGACAATGTAAATCAGAGCCACGATGAGGCACCACTTTACACCTGATGGAACTGATATACGCAAGAAGACTGACCACACCCAGT